AACCTACATCTGAATAAACACATTAAAGAAATTATAACAAAGTTTGCAGGTTATACTACAAAGCCAAAGAAACTGAAAGTTCTAACAGATAAGATAATGGATTTTCAATGTTTGGCCTTTCACTTGCTGCTTTCTAAAATGGAAAATAGAAAAAGTACTTGTAGCATCATGCAAACTCCTACAGCAGATCATATATAAGTAGTACTTCACCAAAACCATAGAACAAAACACCAAAACCAGCAGGGCTAATCTTATGTCACAAAAATGCAAAAGAAGATAAGACAAAGCTGACACCTTTTAACAATGTCTTCTAGTTACAGAACAAGGAACTAAGATACCATATCTAACAGAACAGTTATACAAACATATTACTAGTGTTATAACTTAAGTTTGCATTGCTTTATGAATTGGGAATTAGAAAAGAGTATACCTGTTAAGTCAGCAATAGCAGACAAGCAAAGCTGCTAACAATCTGACAGGAAAATTCAAAATGGAGGGGATAACATGGGAAATTACCAAACAAAAAATAAAAAGTTTACAACATAGTAATTACCAAAAGTTATGCTGTTGATCCTGCTATATGCGTAGCCATTTATAAAACTGACACCATAAAGAAACAAAAAATACAATAGAAACAACCTTAAGAATAGAAGAGATATCGAGATTCAAGACAATCAGCAATCATAAACACTAGTTGGACCTTTGACTATAAAATAATCTTTGTTATGAGTAACTAAAAAATGAAATTGTCTCTGCACCACAAGTTCAAAGAGTCTAGTGATATTGAACTAAATGCAATAACAGACAAATCAATGAGGCATGGATGAAGAAAATGTCAAATTCACAGCTCAAAGCTACATAAGGTACAAAAGCTTCAATATCAAAAAAGAAAAAGTAAAGGAAAAAAAAAAAAAAGGGAGGATATAGCACCAATATTCAAAAAGGTGGGGTTCAAATCTCAACCTCATTCTTAGCTAGCATTTACCACACCCAACTAAAAAGATTAAAGTGTATAAATCTTTACGAGGGAAAAGTTTTTTGTGTTCCCAAAAGATTACCTAAACACTTAGCAAGTAAAAAGTATATCAAAACAAATAGAGACAACTCTTCAGAAAATTAAAAAAATAACAAACTTCAAGCATATAGTGCCTTTTGAATTATCATGCATTTGTCTATAAGAGTACTATTAACAATCATCTGAGGTAAAGCCTCCTATCAAAAAAGAAAATTGTTAATTAATGGCTAGTTAACGGAATTAAACCTGCTTTTATTATCAAAACAAAATAGAATGTTGTGGAGATGATATTTGAAAAAATGACTTCCAAGGTATGAACCTCAAGAACTATCAAACTCCTCCAACCCACCATAAAGGAAAGAACGGCAAACAAATAAACAAACAAGGATTGAATAGACACCTATTGCACATCCATACAAATAGAATAGCCTATTTAAATAGAATAGTAAAGCAGCCTCGTTGTCCCAAAAACAAGCATGCATAATTTGTTCCCACTGCAGAGCAAAAGAATTAGCAAGTGCACCGAAATGCTAAGACCGGACACTTCAGGTAGCAATTTAAGTAGAACCCATTAAGTCATAATAATAGTAACTTACTAAAGGAAAACCCAAGTGTTGAACGACGACAAGCAGACTTAATTAATTTTATTAAGAAGAATCTATTAATAAAATTCCATCCATACATGCAAAACAACCTTCTTAACAACTATCTCCAAACACTCATTGCGACATACAAAATGAACAGGTGGAGATCAAAATGTGGAGGACTCTAGCTTTTTTTTTTTTAATTCTTACTCTAAGATTGAATGTAAGGTTACAAGGCTTGATGACTAAAATGATTACTTTTCATTGATCATCCTGACATAATTCTTCCTATCACAAATGCTTCGAGCTTTTCATTAGGTTTAAGTACATAGAACTTGAAAATGATCCAAAACTTAAGCAAATCAATAGAAAATAGAATTCCTGAGCACAATATAATGTTACCAGGTTCTCCTCGTTGTCATACATATATCATAACTCATTCTGACCACCATCGCTACCTATCAAGCATCCTATGAGCAAAACAGATGAACATAATCATAAAGAGCAAAAAAATATAAACAATTAAGAGAATTAGAAAACCACAACACAACATTGCCTTTATAGCATTGACAAAATGTATACCAAAACCTCATAATAGATCAATAATTTTAGAAAAGAATCACACCAATAAAGAATAACATGGGAAAAAAGAAAATAAAGAAACAACAACGAAGAAACAAGAAACAAGAACTATGAAACTTAGTATTTAACTGTAATTCACATATAGTCTTTAATCGCTTGTTGAAAAACAAGAATGATGGAACAATTGTAAAAACTACCCAAAATCAGTTAATACATAAAACGAGATGGATAAAAGAAATAAACACAATACAAATAAAATTGCATGATACAATAAAGAAAAGAAATTTAAATTGGCATATGATGAGTTGTTTCCTCTCCTAGGTATTTGAATTCCTCATAGACACCTAGTCCACTTAAGAATCATGAACCCAGTTTGACAAAATTAACCCAGTCTTATGCATGCATAGGGACTGGACTCACCTTCAGTCCTTCTAAAGGACAACGGTACAACATATTTACGGTTGAACCCTCAGAAAACTGGCAAGAAATACTTGAGTATTGTACTGTTACTGTCTCGATCTGAGCATCTATTAACAATTTGGTGCAGTGAAGACTCCAATACTATACTAGGCATGCAATGTTGAGCCAAAGCTGAAAAATATTATGTATGTATTCGTCAAAGTCACAGCACAAGCCTGGATGCAAAAATACATTAGAGAAAAGAAGCTTTAATGAAAAAAAATGCTTTTCCATAACATTAATTAAGGTCTGCTGAAAAGTAAATGTGACCATTGACACTTTCTGCTACAGCATCCGGGAGCTCCAAAATTGTTTTCTTTCAACCTTGCAAACACAGGTATTTTTTACAGTCAAGAAGTCAATTATTGAAAGTTAAACATTGAATTAAAGGCAGTAAAATAACATTATACTACCTCAATTTCAATACTAGTTTCAGCATTCTTTGTCACATCTACAAAAGATCCTACGCTTTCAACCAGTGAAAAGCTCACAAGTTACACTGCCAAAAAATTGCCTTAAAAAATCAACGAATCCAATACTTAATAAATATACTAATTAAACCACAATGAAGGTCTAACAATTAGATATTATATTGGAAACAATGGCACAAAATGAAGGCAAAAGAGAACAGGTTCCTTCTCTTGTATGGTTCCTCAGTAATGGTCCAATGTTAGTGGTTGGCGAGGAGGCATTTTTTGAACGTAAGAACATACAACTATACCTATGAGATGTTTTATCAGGATAGGATTCATATTCATCATTGCAGAATGCTGGGTGATAGAACATAGCTCTGAGAAAAAGGCAGAAAGCAAATTATCACCAAGAAAACTGAATAACTTCTACAGCATAAGCTAACATAATTTTTACAGAAACTGCTGCATTTGGGAGATCAAATTTTACTTCAGCTAAGAAAGTTTCAGGTGAAAAAAATAATAATAATAAAATAAAGGATAACTACATCGCAAGAGATACCTTTATAGCATTTCCAAGATCATCAAAGGCTTTCGAAACAGGAGGACATCAAACCTGAAAATCATTCGCAGCTTGCCTTTTGCCAAGACTCTCAAAAACAAACCTGAAAGCAATATCATACAATGGCTCAAGTATTGCTTTCAACAATGCAGAAGTTGAAGGGAATCGTCATAAGGCTCAAGAACAATATAAACATCAAATTGACAACAAGTTCAAATAGAGGTAATACTAATAGCTGTGCAACTAGTGTTCAAGGTGTACCAAAGGTCTGCACTTCCCCATGGCTCAACCACAATATAATGTTACCAGGTTCTCCTAGTTGTACTCCACAAATCATATCTCATGCTTACCACCTCCACATATAGTCAAGCATCCAATCAGCAAACCAAATGAACACAATAAAAAAGAGTATAAGAATTTAAACGATTAAGAGAAAAAAAATCCAGTATGCAATACATCAATATTGCTAGGATAACATTGTGTAAAAACTAACCAAATCCCCATATTCCAAAATATCCAATAAAAAATCACATAAATAAGGAAAACATGGGAAAAAAAGAAAAGAAACAAAACATCAACCAGAAACAAGAAACAAGAACTCTTTCAAGAAGTCTTAAACTATTATTCACAGAGTCTTTAATTGCTTGTTGAAAAGCAACAATGGAAGATGAATTGCATGAACGACACAACATCAGTTAATACATAAAACAAGGCAGATGCATCAAGGAAATAGGAACAGTACATGGTAATGTTAAGAATATCACATGACACAAAGAAGGAAAACTAAATTGTTATAATGACACATATGATGGATTATTTTCTCTCCCCAGGTCTTTAGATTCTCCACACATGCCTACTCTGCAGAAGAATCATGAACCGACTTTGACTCCTAAACCCAAATTTATGCATGCCTATAGAATAGGCTCACCTTCAATCCTTCTAAAGAACAATGGGACAACATACATGCAGTTGTACCCTCATAAAGACCAGACTCACCTTCAATCCTTCTAATGAACAATGGAACAGCCTACATACAGTTGTACCCTCACAAAACTGGCAGGACATAGTTATTTGAGTACCTGTTTACAGTAAAAAAAATCACACATTCATTAATCAAATCAGTAACCAATGGAAGTGCAATAATTAATTTAAATCACAATGTTAATACTTGGATACATTTTAGGTGATAAATTGAAATGGGAACATCACGACTTAGTCATGTCCATACACACATGAATAATACACAACAATAATCACCATTTAGGATCTGAACCAGTGGTTGCCAGGACACAGGCAGTTCCAATTTTAACATGCTGAAAGTTGGTATAATCAAGCAATCAGAACAAAAACACAAATTATGAAGTACCACCACAGCAACTTTGGCTCACAAACTTTGATGAGCTAGTCAAATTATGCAAAATAACTGTAGAAAAAGCAAATTATCAGATAAAATAGTAATAATAATAATAATAATAATAATAAAACACCAACCCACCAAATAAAACAACAAAAGACAAAATGAGAACCAAACCTGATGAGCGAAGGATCATGGGGTGAAGAGCAGAACAAGCAGAGAATCTATTTAAAGATGATTAAAAACGATATTTAACTTCAATCACAAAGCTAATTAAATATATCAAGTGCATAAATTGCCTGTTCCTAAATCAAATTAAAGGCACAGAGACAAGAACAAAACACAGCAGAACTTTACCCTAAACGGTCAGCGTTTAATCAATGAGTCCGGATAATTTTTTCTTTGTAGCCACTGAACAGAGTAACAGAATTCCTTAAGAGTAAAATTCCACAATATCTAGATTCATCCAACAAAAAAGATAATAAAAACAACTAAAAAAAAAATCAAAGATATAGTCTAACAAAATGATAGAATAATAAAAGTAGAAATACAGTGATAACAAATAAAAAGTAAACAGCAAAAGAAAAGAAGGAACAGTAACACCATCAATGGTACAAACCGATTTATAAAAGGAACTTCTCTCTAAGGCATCTCCACCTGTTAAATGTTAACTCATTCCGCTATTTATGAACTTCACCACTTTAGTATCCCATAAATGTCGAAGGTGGCTGAGATCATCAAGAACTTCAACTGATACAAAGACGGTAAGAAAACATTGATTAGTGAAATTAGTTTCGAATTACCAAGAAATTAAAAAAAGATTACAAGAGAGACGAGAGCAATGAAGTTGAAAGAGACGAGAGAAACTACAGCCTGCGAACCGATGCAGGCTCCATCAATTATTTGTTAAGATGGTTTCGTGGAAATGATTGTTACCGTTTTGATTTTGAACAAAAATACAGTAATCCTTTGAATTTGATTTAACAAAGACCTATAAAATGTATAAATCACGGGTTTAGGTAAAAATACAATTAAGAATACTACTAACGGTTACTTTTTGAAATTGAAATTGAAAATGTAAATTGGAAAATAGGAATAAGAATAGGAAAGGGAACTGAATAAGCATAGAAACGGAAACTAGAATAGGATTAACAAAGCGACGAAAGATAGATATTGGAATATGAATAAGAATAGAGACTGAATAGAATAAAAATAAAAATAGGAATAGGAATAAAATAAGAATAATAATCGAAATAGGAATAAGAATTGGAATAAAAATTGAAATAGAAACTGAAATATAATTACAAATCAGAATAGAAATAAAAATAAAAATAAAAACTAGAATATGAATAAAATCTGGGAAAGAAAGTAGAATAGGAAAAAAAATGGGATATATGAATACAACTAAAGATGTCAATGAAAATGAGAATAAGAACCAATATATAAATTCAGATAAGAATAAGAATTGGAGGAAGAACTAGAATTGAAAAATGAATTGAAACTGAAATAAGAACGAGAGTTAAAATCGGAATATAAAATAAAATAAGAATAGGAATTGGAATTGGAATCTGAATAATAAATAGAATAAGAACAATAATAGAAATAGAAATTTAAACTGAAATTAAATTTAAGAATTCAAAATTAAAATTGAGATTTCAATAATGAATTTGAAATCCACTTTATCAGTCTTCCTAAAAGTTATTAGAACCAACATTATAAATTCTAAATACACCTTTATTCTATTTAACATTTTGTTTTAATTTTTTGAAATATTCCCAAATATAGTTATTTTTACTAATCTTAATTCTCAAAATGTTTAAAGGACATATTTAACTATAAAATCATACGACTTAACTTAATTGTTATCATGAAAATAACAAGGACAAAAATGGCCAGAATTCGCTAGACTACCAAGTCTAGCACTATCTAACATAATCGAGCGTGTTTTAACTAAACTATTAAATTGTACAATTAAATGATATAATCGAGTTAAACTATCTAGTCTAGCGTATTTTAACGTTATATATTAGGAATATATCATTTGTTATTTCATTAAGCATATAATTGGTAAATTATTGGATTTTTTGACTAAAATTGTCATTTAAATAAATTTGAATTTGAAGAAGAAAAAGTAAAAAAGAAAATTAAGTTCAAATTTGATATTGGAAAAGATGTGTAAACAAAAAAATCTAATTAAATTTATAGTTTTAATATATTTAAATAAATATTTAGCATTATTATTTGGGGGTAATTTTTGTCATTTCAGAAGAGAATTTACAAGTATTTGAAGGATCTTGACAATAATAGACCGAAACCGAGGGGAAAAATAATGAACTCATCTGCATGATACAATTTAAATTTGCGACACTAATTTCTGAAGATCCGTTAAGTTGTTAAAATTGAGTAAATAACTTTTTTTCCCACCCAAGGTTTGCCTTAATGACTTTTTCACCCAAAAAGTTTCAAAATACCACTTTTTTACCTAAAGTTTATATGCTGTTAATACCCAAAATATACTTCAGTTTCTTAGCCGATGTTCGACGAGTTACCAAGACAGGGTAAGAGGGGTTTTGTTGAGTGGAGGTCGATAGATCGAATGGTTGTGACTAATTGAATATTCATTGTTAAAATCAACCAAAAGTCAACTAAGAACAGGAACATTAACTTTGCAGTGGCTGGCAATCGGTGAGAAATCAGATGCCGGAGTGAGAGGGGTTTTGTAGAAAGGAGACCGAAGATTCAAATGATGGTAACGAAGAGAATTCTTGCCACTGGAATTGGCTTTGGGTAGTAATGGAATATTAAAGAGGTAGTTTTAAACTTTTTTCAGTTTTTGTGGAAAAGTGTCATTAAGGCAACCCTTGGGTGGGAAAAAGTCATTTACTCTGTTAAAATTCTTATGGAATCCAATTATTTAAGGATAAACGTTAAGGACGTCAGTGTTATTTTCCCATTAGTTTATCATAATTCCTACTCTTTATAACAATACCCGCCAAACTATTTGTCATGCTCGCATCAAAAAGAGGATTTTGGTACTTAATTCCACCGGAAGAATAAGAATGGGCATCTGGGTAGTGAGGGCTCCCCTTCCTCTTGGTGTAGGAGCATTGAATTGTAATACTAAGAGTTTGCATTTGCATTTGCAGCAGAGAAGAAAGAGACTTAACATTATCACTTGTACTACCAACACCAGCACCAGTATTAGTGTATTGGAGGTTAATGAGATACGAAAAAGATGCAAAAAATGGCAATGGAAGGGCCAGTACTCCATTAATTACTTGGTTTCTTCTAATCCTAATTCACTTTCCAATTCTTCCCTACTTCTTGTTCATGGCTTCAGTGCCTCTATTCCTCACTGGTGCAGGTTACTTTTTATTATTATCATTCTTATAATTTTTTATATGCAATACCAACCACACATTTCAATATCCGGGTACATATTTTTTGTGTGTGATTCTTCCATCAAGCTCAGGGAGTTGTGAGGTAATAGCTCAACCCAGAATTAGTCCAGCTCTATTGATTGTTTGACCTAGCATAAGCTCATCGAGATATAGCTCGACCTAGCACAAGCTAGTTGCGAACGATTTGAGTGATCATTCAATCAATTCCCAGGTAATTTCATATCTCAGATATCTCGAGAATGATCAAATTGACAGTAATTCTTGCACAATCACAGCGCCCAATCGCAAGAATATCGGAGTCTCATTTCAATTTAATTATAATCCCTTTAATTTTGCTCTTTCCTTTGTACAAATTTCATATATAAACCCCCTCAAACGATGAGGAAAGGGTTGGAAAATACTCCTAGAATTACCATTGTAAGCTCACACAGTAAATACAAAGAACAGTAGACGTAGGCTTAAGTGTTCCTCTTACCGAACCATTTTAAAATCCTTTTTTGCCATTACATTACTGCATTCATTATTCATCCATTGCTAATTATCCGTAATCATGCAAACATCAGTTCTGATCCTGCTAAGATCGATCAGATCACTCTAGTTGGTGTAGATTTGTGTATCAACAATATCTATCTATCAACTAAATTAGGATTTTTCTATCAGGAACATTACTGTGCTGGAAAAGAACTACACTGTTTATGCCATTGACCTTCTTGGGTTTGGTGCTTCAGATAAGCTTGCAGGTTTTTCATATACCATGGAGGCATGTGCTTAGGTAACCTACATCATATCCACATTTTTATGGGCTCAGGTTTTTATCTATTTTTTGGATAATTGAGTTTTATCTTATATTTCATTTTGAAAGTTGTTGATTATTTGTTTTGATTAATTAAGTCTATGAGTTTTGGTGACAAATCTTGGAATCATGGAAATTTTTATCATTAAATGATTTATCCTTTGTTTAACCCACATCAATTTCTTATCCACTGGGAATATTCCTACTAATTAACCTCAGACTCATTGCATACAGTTAATATTGGATTTCTTGGCTAAAGTTGTTCGGAAGCCAATTGTGCCTATAGTGAACTCTGTTGGAAGTCTTGCTTGTGTGATTGCTACCTCAGGTATGTTTGGTTGAAAAGAAAACAGTTGCTCCTAATATTAGCCTTTTTGTCATCTGGGGTTTTGCATTTATGCTTATTTTACTTCCCCTACAAGAGTCTAGTCAAAATCTTGTTCAAGGGATTGTGTTGGTGGCATGAACAATAATGCAATTGTTGATGATTGGAGGATCAAGCTGTTACTACCTTTGCTTTGGCTCTTTGATTTTTTGTTGAAGTAAAAGGTGATTGCTTCGCAAACTTCGAGCATGTGAAACAAAGGTATTATTAGTATATCAGTATCCAATCCAATGATCATTGTTCAAAAATGTCTAAGAGAATGATAAAAATTATTCTAAAATTTATGGCTCGGCTATGCAGAGTGTAAGCCCCGCGTTATGATTCCAATGTCCTAAGGTGTGAAATTTACCTTTTCAAGTAATTTTCTTTTTTTTGAATGAAAGGGTAAAATGGTCAATTTATATGTATTTTGAGATGTGGCCATTATAAAGTGTAAGGGGTGATGTCATTGAAGAGAAATGAGGGTAGAATGGTCATCAAGTTGATTGATATGGTTAAATGGCGTAAACGGTAACCAATGGTATAATGGTCTTTTTATAAAAATCCATATGATTTAAGTATCCATAAAAGTGCATCAAGGGTAAATTAGTCATTTACCTAATGGGGTTGCTTAATTGTTAAGTGTTCTAAAGAAGTCAAATGACATTAAATGAGTGCTAATCATTGTGTTGTGGTAGAAATGACCAAAACGCCCTTATATGAAAAATTTATGCCAAATAACCCTTATATCTAACTTTTATTGCCAATCATAATAGAGTACCAATGGAATAAATATTTACAAGGTTTTAAGAGAGAGAAGTCAGCCTTGTACACCCCAAATGCATCATCTTCTTCTTCATGTCTCAAATCCACTATAAAAGCCACTAATCCAAGCATTTTATTCTCAAATTTTCATAGGATTTCAAGTTGATTTTCAAAGGAGATCACCATCGACACTTAAAGAACTTCAATTTCAGGGTTTAAGGTGAGTTTCAAAACCCTAGTTGTTCTGATCTTTTAGTTAAAAGAGAAATTCATAAGTGGTTATGTGTATAAGGTAGAAAAGGTGAACCTTTGGAGCTAAGGAGGAGTGTTTTTGTGCTTTGAATACTAAGGTAAGGAAAAAATCTCCCTTATGACTACAATTGATAACACCTAGGGTTTATGAAACTTACATTTATTTATGTTAATATGAGTGTGATGCTATGTTTTGGTTATGGATTGTTTAA